TAGTCCACACCTCTTTGGACAAACATTGACCTTTGACCTCCAATCTTTTCACCCTCAGTGTCCCTAACCTCCTCTTGCAATATGTTGATTATCCTCGGCAAATCTCTTTACTCACCTGCGGGAAGATAGCACCCCACCACAGCTTTTAAGGCTACAGTGGCCCTCAGGGACTCCTTCCTTGGGCAGATTCCTAAAGTCCTGGTCCTCTCACCTTTAAGACTCGGCCGTTAGAGAGATGTTTACCCTCTCCTTCCACTCTCTTGTCCTGCCTCTCCCCTCTTTCCGGCCCTGGGAGTATCCGGCCTCTCCAGGAGGGGTCCCAAAAAGCCTTGGCCAAGGTCTCCCATGGCTCCAGCTCCATCCAGGATGAAAGCTTCGACTGTCAGGATTCGGTGATGACCAATCTCTGCAGCTTGAACCTGCCACATAGGCACTCCTGATTTTTTGGCTCTAGCAGGGACGCCCCTTTTGCCAATAAATCAGTTTCCTCCTTCTCTGCGTCCTCTTCCCTCCTCTTTACATGGGTAATGCATCCTCTCTGCCAGTCAGCTCTCCCCTACAATGCCTCTTGGATCAAATATAGCACCCAGGCCTGGCCCACTTATCCCTTAGACAACCAAAGTAGATGGCCCCTTTTTGGGTCCCTGGATCCCGCCAAGGGATCTCTACAATTACTGTGAGCATTCAAAAAAAATGGGTAGAGATCACTTATGTCCAGGCTTTCTTCTTGCTCCGATCCAATCCTGATCTGTGCATCTCTTGCAAACCTCTACAAATTCTTCTAGCCTGTCCAAAGGGCGCTCAACAGATGACACAGTTCTCCTACTTTCTTGGCCTTAAAGGGATATCAGGCCTCTTCACAAAAGGCCCAAATAGCATGTTAAGGGGTCACATATCTCTCAAGGGAAAAAGGCCATTACAGTAGACAGAAAACAGCTTATTGGGTCTATACCTACACCAAAGACCAAAGATGACATACGCTCCTTCTTGGGTTTGGCTGGGTACTTCAGGGCCTGGATTCTCCTTCCTCGCAAGGCCACTATATAATCTGGCCAAGGGCCCCCAAGATGAACCCCTACCCTCAATGGTAGGGAAGCCCTTTAAAAAGGCCTTCCTCTGGGCACCCGCCCTGCATCTCCCTGACCTCTCCCGACCCTTCACCCTCTATGAATATGAGAAACAGGGACAAAGTCTGGGCATTCTGGGTCAGGAATATGGCCCCACATTTGCACCAGTGGCCTACCTATCCAACCTCACCGTCAGGGCTGGCCCCCATGCCTCAGAGCCCTACCAGCAGCCCATGACCTCCAGAAAGAAGCACACAAGCTTACCTTTGGCTCCCTGATAACCATCTTATCTCCTCACCATCTAAAGGATTTCCTCACTTACAAGGGGCTACAGTCACTTCCTCCTTCCAGGGTTCTATCCCTCCTTGTCTCCCCTTAAAAATCCCTCCATCTCTTTTCAGCCCTGCTCTCCATTAAACCCTGCCTCCTTCCTCCCATCTTCTCCCTCACAAGATCCCATCCACAAATGCCAGGAGGTACGATTTTACCCTGCCCTACCACCATTCTGAGGGACCCTGTCCTCTTCAGACTTCGTCTGGTTCTCAAATGGTAGCTCCTTTATACACGAAGGGGTTAAAGTGGTGGGGTATGCTGTCATTTCCATCTCATCCATCATAGAGGCAAAACCTTTCCCACCCAATACCACCAACCAACAAGCTGAACTCATAGCTGCCACAAGGGCATGCGAGCTAGCAGAGGGAAAAACCCTCTCCCTATATAATACGTCTTCAATATCCTGATCTCCCATGAAGCCATTTGGGAAAGAAAGGGGGTATTGACCACCAGAGGGACGGCAGTCATTAATTCCACATTTATTTCTGGTATACTACAAGCCTCCAGGCTGCCTTCCCAACTGGGAATAATCCATTGCAAGGCCCACCAAACTGACTCCTCCCTTACTACTATGGGGAATTCCAAGGCCAATCAAGCGGCTCCATCAGCCGCCCTCCAGAGCTTTACCTCCTCTCCGCTACTCTTCCTTACCACCAGGGATCGGCCCAAAGATCCCCAACAACTCTTCCAGTTTCTTCACTGTCTATTCCATTCTAGTCCACAGAGTCTCACTACTTTCCTTCACTCCTTTTTCACCCTTTCCCCACGTGATAAAATCCTCCTACAACAGATCACTTCCGCTTGTCAGATCTGTCAGAGAACCAATAAAACCTAAACTTTTCCCTTCTCATCATGTCCACGGTCATATACTTTTTTGGGATGGGTTGAAGCCTTTCCCACTTCTAACAAATGGGCCTCTACGTAATTGATCTATTGCTTACTCACCTAATCCCCCGTTTCAGGATGCCCACTTCTATCCAATCAGACAATGGCCCAGAATTCACCTCGAAGATAACTCAGGGACTGACTCATGCCATATCACTCCCTTGGCATTTCCATTGCCCTTGCCACCCCCAGGCTTCTGTGGAGGTTGAAAGGACCAATCAGTCCCATAAAGAGACCCTCACCAAGCTCACCATGGAATTAAGCCTGGACTGGGTAAAGGTGCTCCCCTTGGCTTTATTGCACATTAGGACCTTGCCGAAGAAGCCTTCTAATCTCTCACCTTTCGAAGTCATGTATGGCTGTCCCCTTGTTCCTCCCGGATTGCCTACAGATGCCCTGCCCTTCCTCTTCCATCTATGCTCTGAACTCTGGCGCTATCAAGACTGGCTCTTTCCTGACCCCAGTCTCTTTCAAAACCCTACCTCCTTAACACCTGGTCAACTTGTTTACTATTGCCCACCTGGGTAAAAGCCCCCTCTAAAACCAAAATGGGAGGGTCCTGCTCAGGTGATTATGTGCACTCCCTTGGTGGCCAAACTCAAGCTGTCTAATAACCAACTTACCCCATGGATTCATATTTCCAGGCTTAAGCCTGGCACTCCTACCCCTTCATCAGGAAAGCCAAGATTATCACCTGTCATTAAGTACTCTTGTCAATGTCCCCCCTCATTTCTGGCCCCTCTTTGGTCCTCTCTTCACTCTATGTCTGGAGATTCAAAGCAAGTGACCCTAAGGGCCCCCTCCAGCCAGACCCCCTTCTCCTCCTTACAGACCCCCTACTTGCTTGGATCTGGCTGGTAGTGGGACCATTGTGTGTTGTCCTTCTAACAAACAACTTAGGTGTCTGGAGCATGATGACCCCTGAATAAGTGTGATCATAAGAGAGCACTTTATCAGTTGCCTTCTGGGCCTAAGGAGGAACATGTGTATTTTGTTTACCCTCCCAGTTTCGTAAGAATTTCAAATGTCAGTATTTAAGGTTGAGGTGTTTCACATAAAACCTGGAGAGATCTGACTGCTCTCAAAGGGAAATCTGGTAACAATGGGCCATCATCCTCCCATGGCCACCTTAGTTCAGAGTGTGGGTGAAGCTGCCTTCTTTATTTCAAAGCCCATACTTTCTTGGATGTGACTAGGGAAAGCTGGGATATTTCAAGAAAGGTAAAGAGAGAAGCAAGCTCGTTTCAGAGACACCCAGGTAGGAGAGAGTTTGAAGAGCAGCCTTAATAGAGAGGGGAGGGAGCTAGATTGGACTAGGAATGAAGAGTGGAATTGAGGGTGTTAGGGGCAGAACAGGCTGGTGTGCAGGGCATGCCAAACAAAATTAGCTGCAGGATGACCTGGCTTCTCAAACCCTCTGTCTTCCCCTGAGAAGAGCCATCCAATGGTGAGCCCTGCTGACTCACATGATCCTTACCCACCAATCGGACTAGCCCTGCTGGCTCACATGATCTTACCCACCAATCAGAAAGCACCCCATGCCAACTGTCAAACTGTTCAACCTTTAAACTGACATAACTGTCAAACCACCCCTGGCTCTGGCTCTATAAATATGCAGAGCTGTTCCTCAATAAATGGGCGTTTTCTCCAGCTACAACGAATCTTGTTCTATCTTTCACAATCCCATGTTAATGTCGGCACTGGGGTCAATTGGTGGTCAGAAGTTACCTTAGTGCACCTGCACTACAAAAGGAATCTTCCTCCCTAGATAAATGGAGGTACTTTTAGGAGATACTTTTAGCCATAATTCATAGCTTCAGGTCTACATCAATGGACCCTGTCAAGAGTTAGTCTCATTAATCCTTTTCTCTTGACATATTTCTTGATTAGCTCCTTTTGCTTCTGTTTTTTTTTTCTACAAATTATCACATTTTGCTTTCTTCTTTACTTTTGAAATAGTTTAAAGAAGACACTATCATACGTTAAAGAACACCTGTGACCTCGCCTGCATTTTACTTCTCATTGCCAGCTACAACCTAACAAAAGAAAAAAAAAAGATTTAACTTCCTAAATTCCATATTTGCTACACCAGACTTACATTAAACATACCCAACATAAAACTTAAAGACAAAACAATATAATATGAAGACACAAAAAAATGTTTATAGGAAAAACAAAATCTTAAGGGCTATTTAGTATGTTTAGATAGAGAAAGATTATTTATATAAATTAATAAGAGTTGTTAAAATTCTAAAATTAAAACCCACTAAACTGAAAATGGATACTGATAACCCAGAAAATCATATTTTAAAACAACAAGATTCCCCCTCCCCATAAGAAAAAGGAAAAAAAAAACATATCCAGCAAATTTTCAACTTCAAATGTGCTGCATTTTCTGCTTTCACTAAACTCTAGGATGCCTCAGGTTAGGGACCTTGTTTATTTTATGCCTTCTTTTAGTGACACATGGTAGATGCTCACTCTATTCATATTGGTTGAATATATGAATATATGTTCATAAGGAAACTTCCAATCCCTCCGTGAACTAAATTTGAGGTTAGTTGAGGAGAAAAAGTTCAAACTCTTCCTATCAGACCAAGGTGTGTGTCCACACACACGCTTCCCTCAATGTGAGCCCTTTAGCTTCACACATGCCCTGTGTCCCCAGACACACAGACAAGTGCATGTTCAACTGTGACTATAACTGTTTTTCAGTTGGTGAAGAAATATGGGAATGTTCTTAGCCTGGATTTTGGTAACCTGTCTTCAGTGCTCATAACTGGACTGCCCTTAATCAAAGAAGTTCTTTCTCAGACAGACCAGTCCTTCGTGCATCGCCCTGTAACCCCTCTCCGAGAACGTATCTTTAGGAAAAATGGTAAGTTTATTCATGACTGTAAGGTGTGCATTTGAAATACTATGGTCTCTTCACCATGCCTCTATGCCTATAATTTTCTGACACTCCCAGAAGTTAACCTCATTATGAAATGCCTGCCCTTTATAAGAAGCCAAATGCCCACATTTTCTGGTTGAAAACATCTCCTTTTAAAGATTTGTCTTGATGGGTCCTGATAGAGATTTTTGAGAAACCAAATGTTCTGCACAAACTCTGGATGCTTTGATAATGAAGTAACCATATCATCTAATTATAGCAGAGGAGGAGGCAGTGTGTGAAAAAGCTTCAGACCTAATCTTGAAAGAACTCTGCCATTTCAAGATTTGATAGAAGATGAAACAGAAAAAGATATAAGAAGTTTCTTGAAGGGTATTAAAAAGAAAATATGGAAGTGTATACCCTGGACTCCACCAGAAATGAGTGTGCAATTAAATAAGCATCTCATGCTGCTAAAAGATCAAGTGAAATGAGGTTGAAAGATAGTCCTGGACTGACGGCAAGGATGGACATTTCATTAGGTTGGTGAAGCTGTGATGGCAAAACCAGACCTGGTTGTGAAATGAATTATAAAAATGTTATGGTAAGAGGGGCTGAGGCTCTGGCTCAGAATGTGTGAGGTACTGGGTTCAATTCTCAGCACTACGTATAAGTAAATGAATAAAATAAAGGTCTACACATCTAAAATATATTTTTAAAAATGTTATGGTAAGACACCTATGCCTGGGGAAGGGTCAGTTGCCCTCCCCTCTCTCAGCCTTTCTCTTGGAAGCCTAATTAACCATGGGTTGATTAACCTTTTGAATTGTAAATACCTGCACTAGGGATCTGACTACTCCCTCTCAAAAGAGCCCTTTCTTCCTACCTGTTTCTGTGAGCATGTTAGAGACCCTGCACAGGGCCTTTAGCAGAGGAGATTAGGAAAAATTTTAAGAGAAAAAAGCCCCACAGAACTAACATCATCAAAATGGCGATATTACCAAAAGTTCTCTATAGGTTTAATGCAATGCCAATCAAAATCCCAACGGCATTTCTTGTAGAAATAGAGAAAGCAATCATGAAATTCATATGGAAAAATAAAAGACCCAGAATAGCAAAAACAATGCTAAGCAGGAAGTGTGAATCAGGTGGTATAGCGATACCAGACTTCAAACTATACTACAGAGCAATAGTAACAAAAACAGCATGGTACTGGTACCAAAACAGGCGGGTGGACCAATGGTACAGAATAGAGGACACAGAAACCAATCCACAAAACTACAACTATCTTATATTTGATAAAGGGTCTAAAAGCATGCAATGGAGGAAGGATAGCATCTTCAACAAATGGTGCTGGGAAAACTGGAAATCCATATGCAACAAAATGAAACTGAATCCCTTTCTCTCGCCATGCACAAAAGTGAATTCAAAATGGATCAAGGAGCTTGATATCAAATCAGAGACGCGCCGTCTGATAGAAGAAAAAGTTGGCTACGATCTACATTCGGTGGGGTCAGGCTCCAAATTCCTCAATAGAACACCCGTAGCACAAAAGTTAATAACTAGAATCAACAAATGGGACTTACTCAAACTAAAAAGTTTTTTCTCAGCAAAAGAAACAATAAGAGAGGTAAATAGGGAGCCTACACCCTGGGAACAAATCTTTACTCCTCACACTTCAGATAGAGCCCTAATATCCAGAGTATACAAAGA